CGCCACCTCTTACCCACCGCTGCTCCCTGCGGCACCGCGGTGGCACCTTCCCGTCACTGAGCCACGTGCAGCAGGCAGACCTCTTCCCCCAGCGAGCACCACCCTGGTCACCCTCCGATTACCAGCCAGGTGTCCCCCTTCATGGGTCAGTGCAGTCACCAGGAAACACGCAACTCCCCGAGTGACAGGGCCCAGCGCACCCACTGCTCCCCCTGCTCTCTCCCAGGTGTGGGCTCCCGGGGACCCGCCCCTAGGGGTACGTCCTGCTGTCCCCACAAGCTGTGGTGCAGCAGGACCAGCGGCAGTCCCGGGCCGGCTCTCCTCTGCCTGTCCTGCGGTGGTTCTGCTCCCTGGCAGCGGGTAGTCCCGAGGCCCCGGGACGCTTCCTCGGGCCATGGCCCGGCCTTGCGCACCGCCAGGGAGGACCAGGAGGGGGACCTTACAGCTGCGCCTGCCGGGGGGCTGCCTTCCTGCCCGAGGCCCCACGCTCAGGACACGAGGACCGGAGCCCCGCTCGCCCTTCCCTGGCGCAGGACAAGGGCAGGTGTGGGCACTGGGGAGGAGGGTGAGATCTGGGGCCCATGGGCGTCTGCGGAGACTGGCCCTCGGCTTTGCCCCCAAGTGGGAGTCCTCATTCCGGATGTGCCGCAGCACCCGAACTTTCACTCTTTGCTGCACAGGCACCTCCGGGATGAGGCACCTGTTCCCCTTCCCCTGGCTCACCGCCTGCTGGTTCCCTTCAGCAAAGTGAGCCAGGGAGGACAGCCATCTCTTACGCTAGTTTACCTAATTACACACAATTTTAATTGGATATAAATATAATAGCAGTAGACATAATCTAATTCTAACATCTAATTGCTTGTATCTGTGCTGTGAAGTTACCATCCCGTCCCAGTGTGCGCGCGGTTTCGGCAGGTCTCCATGCGCAGGTGCCCCCGCCCTGCAGCTGGCCTGGGCCCCGTGGGCCGCCTCCCACGCCCGCCGCGCCTGTCCCTGCGCTCCGAGACCCTGCAGCCTGCGGAGCTCAGTGTCCTGGTTCCCACGTCCTCTCCCCTTTCTCACAAGTGCTCGGCTCCCCACAATTTCTCCTCATTAGATTTTTTACTGAACTCTGATGATCCTGTAGAGGAAGCCCTGTCTTCTCTTCTCTTTGTTGTCACTGACATTTCCCCAGGGTCTTATGTTCGAGGACAAGGCGCATGACATCCTGCTACTTCAGGCCCTTAAAGAGCGTCCAGCGCAGCATGTAAAGGACCTGGAGGCACAGCCGGACGGCGCTGGTGTTTTCCTCACCTCATTTGACCGCTGGTGTGGACACCGTGGCCCAGGCTGCGGGCCGCAGGCTCCGGCGTTACGGTCTCTCTGCAGTGAACCGGTCTCTGCTGTGCAGTCTACTCCTCATTAGCTCACCTCTGCTTCCAGGGTCTGGGCGCTTGTCCATCTCCCGTTAAAAACTCAAGCTTCCGAAGCTTTGTTCTACAGGACACAACTTCAGCAAGACTGCAGTGGGGTCCCATGAAAAAGAAAAAGACTCTGTGGGTGTGGCTGAGTAGATAGTGGCCTTCCAAAGATGACCACTTCCTAATCCCCAGAATCTAGGAATATGTCACCTCACATGACTAAAGGGATTTTGCAAGAGACGGGAGCTTATTCCGGGTCATTTGAGTGGGCCCAGTGGGATCTTAAGGATTTTGTAGAGGGGGCAGGGGGGTCAGACTCAGAGATGTGACAGTGGATGCGCAGGGACAGAGGGAAAGGTTGGGAGCTGCTGCTCCACTGGCTTTGAGGATGACGCCTAGGTCTCGGCCCAAGGGAGGCAGGTGGCCTCTAGAAGCTAGAAAGGCAACGAAGTAGATTTTCCCTTAGCCTCCTGACTTATTTTGGACTCTGGACTGGTAAGAGAATCAATCTGTGTGGTCGTCAGCCACTGAGTTTGCATTAATTTCTCACAGCCACAATAAAAAATCAGTAAGATGGCCAGGATAAGTTGGGGAAGTGTGATGCGCTCTATTCTCTTCAAGGAAATTCGCAGTGTATGTCAACTCAGTATGTCAATGATAGCATGTTGTAGAATTGCAATAATTTTCCCTTAGAAAACTAATTTCATGGTTACTTCGTTTATGAATGGCCTTAATTACTTGGCTAATTTTTTTCATTGGTCACCTGCTCCTCACCCAGTGAATCCGAGGTGGTGTTGGCACGTTCTCCCAGCAGGGGGAGCTGTGGTCGGTGCCCTGACCTTGGACGGCCGGATGCAGAGTCCTGACTCGACCCTTCCCCTCATTTCATGCATTCCAGTCACTGTATCTTCTCTGTGTTTTCTGCTTATATAAAATGGTATCCCTTGGATAACAGCCTCATTGTTGCACTCTTACTCATTTTAGGTGGCTGATGCTTTATGGATTAATGTTTTCTGCTCGGGCTTGAGCATTTTTTTCATCTTATAACAGCAGTTTGAAGTACAAACGTATTTAAAAATTTTTTTTAATATAAATTATGCTCTAGAAATATTTTAAAATAAACTCTCCAATTTACATTTTAGGAATAAACATGTTCTGATAAATTATTAGAAAGTTTGAGTTTTCTTAATCTCTTTTAGAACATCACCAATGTAGGTCAAGTGAAAAGTTATTCTCTGCTTTGGTTTGATGCATGTAATCGGAGAGGAAACCACTGCGGATCTCAGGTGCCTTTTTAAAAGACTTGTTCTTGGAATCAGTTTCTGGCTAGATTTATAGTTTTGTTTTTGTGGGGGTTTTTGTGCGTGTGTTTTTTTAGAAAAATGACCTTTCTTGAGTTATTAAAATCTGTTTTTCCTAGTTTATTATAGGTTTCCCTCAGCTGACATGCCTGAATCAAGCATGTTTTTCTGGCATTCCAAATCGGCCCCACTCTGGGGTGTCTCATTATGGAATTGGACACACCACCAAAAGAAAGGGAGCATTAGTACTCTAAAACAATACAGACTTATCCTACTTATTAAAAAAAAGATTGAATTTCTATTTTAAGCATGGCATGCAGCTAGGTGTTGGGAATTCAGACACATTGTCCCTGATTTCAAGAGACTTAGAATACCGTTTTTTAAAACCCCCAGTTTTCTGTCTTGCTTGACTTCCATGAATGCTGCAGGGATCTGTGCTAACTGAAAGGATGCCCTCTCTAAACAGAGGGGATTCACCCGAAGTGCAAACAGGGCAGTTAGTCTTCAAGGGCTTCAGATGCCTGAGGGATTCTCATCAGAGGCCAAGGTGCTAATGTTTTCATAGGGATACTTGCAGTGATTTTGGGGACGAATCACAGGGCTGTTTCTAAATGTGAAAAATAGAGACACTAGTATCTGTCTGAGCACCTTAATGCAATTGGGCTTACCAGAAGAGATGAGGTTTGTGGTAAGCCCCGAGCAGTGTGCACGTTTGGTCTCGGGAGGGCTTCACTGACAGAAAGACCAACTTCTCTGTGGCCGCAATTCTGCACGTATGGTCCCAGACCTGCAGCATCCACGTTGCCAGGGAACCTGGGACGAATGCAGATTATCCGGCCCCACCTAGGACTTGCTGAGTCAGAGCCTCTGTGCCCTCAGGGGCCCTTCCGGGGACTCTGTTGCAGATGAAGCCAGAGGAGCAGAGCTCTGAAAGATGCTCATATTGTCCGGCTCTGCTCTGAGCCTGAGTCAGCGCTGGCAGCGGACCTCAGCCCAGAAACCTCCACCAAGGGTCTTGGTCTTCAAATGTATCTGCTGAAACATTTTACCTGAAAAGAAGTTCACAGTTGCGTATCTGATGATCAAGATGGTGACTAGCTGTCTTTACCATTTAAAATGAGAAGAACACCCACATTTGATTCTTTGTGGATTTTATGGTATAATAAGTTTTTTTTTTGCCACAGTTTGATGTTCTCTTGTTTTGTTAAAATATAGCATTATTTTAGAAGGGGATATTTTTGTGGATTTTATTGCATATATAATTAAAGATGCTATTTATTATATTATCCTGCCATTATTTCACTCACAGCATCTTACTCTTACTCCGTTTGCATGTGGCCCAGAGAAATTATCTAGTCAGCAAGCGGGATGGGCAGATCTTGGAGGGGGGTGTTCAGCTCCAGTCCTGACAGGTTTCCTTCTGCGGTGCTGCCTCCCGACCAGAACCACCCAAGGAGTCTCTCTTATTATCCCCAAAAGGTCTTACATTTTTATCTTATGTTTTGAACTCAGGTCTTAAAGATTTTATTTTCTACATAAAAGTTCAAGACGGCTGTTCTGCTCAAGGATTTTATGGGTGAATTCAGAGTTGGCTAAGAAAACTTATGAATCCTTTTCCTCTGCAAACATAACTTATGCTAAATCTTGAAAAGAGAGTAAAAAATAAATAGCTTCTGACTAAACATATTTCCAAATAAATATGCAAAAGTCCAAACTTAAAGATAGCAACTAGGAATCAAATTTTTTAAATGAATAAGGTACCATAATCAAGTAGGATTTTCTCTGGGAATTGAAAGACAATAAGTACATCACTAAGTCTCAATCACTGTTCATAGTTATAGTTCACAGAAACCATACACTGTCAGTGTAAAGTGGGCTGGGGAGTGGGCCGCTGAGAATGCCCCCCAGGAAGGCAGGGAGTGGCAGCAGATGCAACCATGCTTGAGCACCAACACCCGTTCCACTGTCCCACAAGACGTCAGTCAGAAAACACAGCTCAGAGACGTGGAGCCAGGGATGAGCCCTTTCAAGCATGGGGGCCATGTGACAGTTACCTGCCCAGTGGCCAGCCCCGCCTGGGGCTGAAGATCCCCAAGGTCACACAGGAAAGTCAAGGAATCAGACTAACATTTGACTTCAAAAGTAATCTTGAGTGCTAGAAGGACAGGAAGCAATTCTTTCAACTTTCTCATGAAAATCATTCCAATTTAGAATGTAATCACTGACCCAGTTATGAATCAAGTATGAAAGTAGAATAAAAATTCTTAAAGATGAGGTTTATCCTTTTCACCCTTTTTAGGTAGAGTAGGAGGATGCGCTTCAGCAGCACAAGAGGGTAAACCAGGGAAAAGACCGAAATGGAGGTGGAGAAAGGCAATCCGAGGAAAGAAACCAGAAACGGGGAGGCCAAGGCGACAGTCTTACCAGGCCGCCCGTCCCGATCGGCGCAGAAGCACACAAGGCCCCGGCGGGAAGTGGTCCAGGACGGAACGTCGAGTCGATGCAGCCTGACCCGAGCATCCTGAGACTGAGCATTCACAGGTAGGCAGCTCCCAGGAGGGAGCGTGTGGGAGAAAATGAGGCCAGGTCCTGCCGGACAAAGTGTCTTTGTGATTTGTAGTTAGGTATCATTTCAAGAATTCATGAAAATTATTAGTCTTTATTACTTGGGAAAGGCCAATTATTCATGATGAAATCATCTGCCTCCTTTCAATAGACAGCTTCTGCTCGCTGCCTTTCCTGACTTCTCTGCCCCTCAAACCCTTGCTTCTAGGTGGGGCTCCGTGGCTCACCAAAGTGACACATCACTTTTGGGCCAAGAAGGTTACACCCTGTCCCCTGTTTTTCAAACCTTCTTACCTGAATGCAGGTAACTGTCCAACAGGAAGAGGATGTCAAGGTTATCAGATGGCAGAAATGATGACTCTTAGGGAAGCTGTCTGCTAGCCACCAGCCTGTACCTTAACCTGTTCAATGAAAGGAACACAGACTGCAGGAAGCTGTGGCCCCGCTGCTGTTACCGCTGGGCCAGCCGGCCCGATGGGGGCCAGCACTGCAGGCGAACTGGCTTTGGTCTCTGCCTGCCAGTCATGTAGTCTGGGAGGGATGGGGAAAAACAAAGACACAAAGAGCTGAACTAGGCCCGTTCACCAGATTTAGCCACAATTAAAGAAGAACAATTAGGAAAACTGACAAGTTTTCATGCAAATTGGGCTTATGCATTTAGGAGAGTAATTTTCTTAGCTGAGAAGGTCAGAGCAGGAAAAAGGTGCGTAGCCAGTGGTGAGAAGAATCATTTTTGACCCCCACCCAAGATCTGATATCGACCATTATCCCATCTTCCCACAGCTGAGAGTTCTGGGATGACAGCCTAGGAATTAAAGGCAATCTCACTGCTCACATAAATACTAAAATTCCACAATGGGCCTTGAAAAACACACAGTAAGATCTCTCAATTTTCATGTGAAAATTAACATTTGAAAATATGTATGTATGAAAATAAAAAGGATGGGCCCAGGTGGAAAAGACTAAGTGTCTGGACTTTCGGGTGTCTCATGGGGGGTTCGACAGAAGGTCTACTGATGAAACCGGAGAGGCCTCACATGCCCCGGAGGAGCTGAGTGGGAAATGGGGTATCCCAGCCCCCAAGGCAATGCCTACATGAACTTAAATGTAAGTTATTGTCTTCAGCTTTCAAACGGAGAAGTAGTATTGCAAATCTTTCAAAAAATGGGTGGATAAATCCACTTCTGAGACCTTACACTCTTGACCCCTGCCTCCTAATGACCTTTATTCTCTCTCTTCTAATGGGGTGACTTTGAAGATCTGCTAGGACCCAGTTTCTTACCAAATTCAGGTCACATCAAAGTTTTAGTCAAATACCCAAGCATGATTTGTGCACTAAAGGTCTGGAGGAAGAGTACTGGGATATTTTCAGCCTGTGTAATTATTTCATATTTTGAGTACCCTTTATGTTATTTATAACAGGAACTCCCGAGCCTGATTCTGAATTTGGGATGAGCAGAATAAGTTTAATTAGAGCTAAAGCACCAACAATTACAAATGCATTTTTTAAAAAAGGCAGCACAGATTAGATTGCAAAGGAAACTAGATTGCTTGTAGGTTTATGTACACATTTAAAATTACCTAATGTTCAATAAAATTGGAATGTAGCTTGTTTCTATGTCACTGGCAAATCTTTACTCATAACCTAGCTTATTTTGGAGGCTGAGGTCAACCCAAGTCATGTGAGAGAGAGAAGAGAGTGCCTTTGGGTGACTGACAAACCACAGGGTTGGTCTAAGGTCAAGATGTTGCTATGGAAACAGGTGGACCTATAGAGAGCGCTGAGTAAAAGGTCTCCTGGAGAAGCCCAGGACCTTTTCTAAAATACTTAAAAAAGAAATTTCCTTTAAACATTGATTTTATTTAGCATCTAGTCTCTAAATCCATACCAAGGTTTTTAGAGAAATAACTTGTCATATTTTGATTGATGACGATTATTGACGCTTTCCTGTTATTGAGAGGTTCCACTAGGAGATTTTTTTCATTGCCCTGCCTCTTACTTCGGAAGTATGACCCACTTTATCATAACTTATTGGCCATCAAAACAGCATCTAGAACTTACCTTATAGAATTTTATGGCTTATTCCTAAATGTAAGGAAAGTTTTTTAAACACTAAGTCCATATTCTCCAGTGTTATACACCTTCCAGTACTACATGTCACTATTTTTTGTGTGTGATCTTCCCGTTCTCTTTTGAAAAATCTCATTGGTTCATTAAATTTTAAATCCTTACTGTTACATTCTCAGTACATTAAAACATAAAATTAGTCTTTCAAGATTTCGATATTATCATTCTATGTTTGAAAGTTGGCCGTAACTTAAACATTAAGGCAAGAGACACTGAGGCTGTCACTTGGATCATTAAAAAAGCTACTTCCCTTGTATGACTTTTTGGAATAAACTGACAAAAGCAATCCAAATATTATAAACAGCACTTTAAAAAAAAATCAAGACACATTCTTAAGGCAAAAATTCTATGAGGAGAAAAACAAAGGTGGTATCTAGAAAATCAAATATGTCCATCTTTATGGAAATTTTAGAAATGGGGACAGTAAAATATGTCTTAAACAGCAGATTAGTTAAGAATGTGTTGCTTTCAAGAATCTAACTTGATTAGTTTAGCCAAAAGGTCAACTTAGTTACTCACTTACCAACCTGAGACAGAGCCGCAGCTGGGCCTCAGGAGCGCTGGGGTGAGGGCTCGCCACTGACGGCCCCTCGCTTTCCCCTCCCCGTCACCATCTCCCCACACCCCCTGGGTCCTTCTCGGGTGGGGACAGAAGAAGGGTGCGGGTAGTCCTCAACTTCTGCCCCAGGAAGGGTTTAAGATTAAACTTTGCTATTCATTAATTAAAAAAGTAAATTTCAAGGGAGGGTCTGTCTCAGACCATTTGGTGGGTTATAAGTAACAGAAATGTGTATCTCAGTCCAGGAGGTCAGAGTGCCCGCATGGGTGAGGAGGGTCTGGACTTCCCCGGGGTCCTCGCATGGCGGAAGGTGCTAGCGAGCTCTGCGGGGTCTCCTCAGAGGAGCGCCGACCCCATTCATGAGCGTCCGCTAATGGTCCCCCCCTAACATCATCACATCAGGTCTAGAATGTCGCTGCGTGGAGTTTCTGTCGGGCGGGGGGAGCATAAACACTTGGACCATAGGAAGGTCCCTACAGGCCAGCACGGGGCAGCTGCGCATCTCTGACCCCGCAGACGGTCCGACGACTCAGCACAGGGTCGGAGCTCAGCGCAGCAGGAGCGAGGGGCGCGCTGCTGGATCGCGGTTCATAGTAAGGGAAAAACCTTGTCCCGGAAAAGGGGGCTGCGGCCATGGCTAGAAAAAAGTCCCATTAGAATAATGGAGGACAAATCAAGATAATAACAATTAAAAATATTTACATAGAGTAATACCAAACATATATGTGAGAATTTGGAAACACATATTCAGTGTCATTGGGAAATAAGACTTTAGAAGATACTGAAGATTTGAATTTGAGGAAAAGTAAATCCATGGCAGATCATGAAATATCTGTTATCAAATTTTAGAATTTTCGTATCTTAACATTCAGACACGGGTGTATTTCTAATCCACAAAAAGGTACAAATTGACAATAGGTAGGTATTTTTGGGGAAGAGGCTGAAGCTGATGTTAAATGAAAAAAATAGGAAACAGTCTGATGTTTAAAGTGAACTCTACCGAATAATTATGAGAATCCATTTGAATAATTTCTAACCTTCAGTAAATGAAGGAAATGTAACTACTTCAAGTACCCACTGACATTCCATTTCTTTGCTAAATGTGTCTTCAAAATGTGCCCTTATGTGTAGCTTGGATTGACAGATGGAAACATGCCCACAGACTATTCATTTTTACTCTCTTTGGTTGTCATCCTTTCCCCTTTTTTGCATATGAGTACATCACTAAAATTGCTGAGATAAATGGGGATAAGAGAGAAATACATCAAAGCTTGATGTGAATTGGAAGAAGATGGATTTTATTGAGTATGGAGACCGAGATGAGAAACTGAGAATTCAGTGCTGCATTGTTGAGAAAGTTTAAACGGATGGTTTTATTTCCACTCTACCTTAAGGAGACCAAAATTGTGAATTTCACTGATGTTTATGCTCTCTAGGCAATCGCTGTCCTGCTTAGAGTTGGTTCTTAGCTCTCTACTCTGAAAAGTCTCGGAAGCGGGGCAGCTACTGAACATGCTCTCCATGAGGCGCTGCTTCACGTGGAAAGATTGGTGGTAAATTTTAATATTGGCTACACGTGCCTGATGTGATGGACGGGTGTGATACAGGTGGTGATATCAGTAGGCTGCTGAGCAGTGGATGAGGTCACTCTTTCTGCGACTTTCTGGAGTGTTCTTGAAGCTTTGGTGAATCCAGACCAGTGTGTTTTAGTGTAAAGACTTATAAAATGTGGTTCTTTTTAAAAATGTTACAAAAAATTGTATGTATTTAAGGTGTACAACATGATGTTTTGATATACATATACATGGTGAGAATTATTCTAGGCAGTCTAATTAACATATACATCTCTTCATATGTAGTTACTTTTTTGTGTGTGATGAGAGGAGAGGTCCTAAAATTTATTCTCCCAGCAGATTTCCAGTATAAATACAGTATTCTCACCTACAGCCCTCGTGCTGTACATTAGATCCCTGGGCTTATTCGTCCTCCGTAGCTGCCACTCTGACCACCGTGCGGATCTGGGCGCTCTTTGTATGGCCCGGCCCCCATGTCCGAGGCAGGGGATGAGCTGTACAGTAATATGGCCTCGAGAGGGCTTTGATTTGTCAGGCCGTGGTTGATGGGGCCATAGTCCCGGCAGCACTGAGAAGCAGTTCAGACTTCCGTCTGATAAGGTTCAGAATGTCCTGGAAGCTGGAGAAGACAGACCCAGAAAGCACACGTTTGTAAAGCTGGTGACTGACTGGCTGACTTCTCAGAATATGGGAGGACTTAACGGGACTTGAGCGG